GTTTAGATTGTTGACAATGTTTATGCAAAAATTTTTGAAAAAATATTTAATAGTTTTTAAGGTGTTGCTGTTTCCCTTAAACGCCTTTTTTTAAAGAGCCTTGCGGTGATAATTCCCTAGGACGAACGGGTCAACTGATACCGAAAAAAAAAAAATATTTCATTAGTTTAAAGTAGTATCCTGTACTTGAACGAACGTTTTTAAAAAAAATTTTTTTTTTGTGCATACGGGAACGTTTAATGCAAAAAATGACGTTTTTGGACGCGAAAATTCTTACAAAACAATCTATTTCGGCGAAATAAAAATTTTTACATGAAAAAACGATCGTTCAAGTACAAATAAAATTCATTACGAACATTTAAAAAAAATTTGAAGAAAATCGGTTCAGTAGTTTTTCGCCAATCCATATCACCGCAAAGTCATTTTTAAAAACAAGAAAGGAAAGCTAACTTCGGGCGGAGCCGAAGTTGATATACCCTTGCAGAATATTCCATAAATTATATTCTCCAAAATTATTCATATGATGCATTCTTAATACTCATAAAAAGTCCCAACTTCCTAACTTTAAAAACACCAAAGTTATGACATTTCCAATCGTTCAGTTATATGGCAGCTATAAGATATAGTCGGCCGATCCTTATGAAATTTGGTGGGTCGGATTGATTGGCCAAAAATAAAACCCATAGAAAACCCCAACTGCCTAACTTTACAAACACCAAAGTTATGGCATTTCCGATCAATCAGTTATATGGCGGCTATAGGATATAGTCGTCCGATCCTTATGAAATTCGGTAGGTCGGATTGATTAGCCAAAAATAAAACCCATAGAAAATCTCAACTTCCTAACTTTAAAAACACCAAAGTTATGGCTTTTCCGATCGTTCAGTTATATGGCAGCTATATGATATAGTCGCCCGATCCGGCTCGTTCCGACTTATATACTATCTGCAATAGAAAGACAACTTTTGGGAAAGTTTCAAGCAGATAGCTTTAAAACTGCGGGACTAGTTTGCGTAGAAACGGACGGACGGACGGACAGACGGACAGACGGACGGACAGACGGACATGGCTAGATCGACTCTCCTGGTGATGCTGATCAAGAATATATATACTTTATAGGGTCGGAAATGTCTCCTTCACTGCGTTGCAAACTTTTGACTGAAATTATAATACCCTCTGCAAGGGTATAAAAAAACCATTTCGAGATATTCGCGTTTAAAGTTTCAAGTTTGGGTTTGGGCGGGGACGAGGCGCGCGGCTAGGAGCGCTGTAACTTTTTTTCTACAGCTCAAATCTCTATGAAAATTTTGGGAAATATTCTCAAGAAGTTGTTCTTTAAGATATAGCAAAAAAAATTTCGATTTTTTGAAAATGAACAAGAGAGAACGCTATAGTCGGGTGCCCCGACTATCAGATACCGTTACTCAGGTAAGGGAGTGCGAGGGAGATGGGATAGAAACTTTGATCACGCATAACTTTTTAACGAATGGTCCGACTTGAAAAGTTCTTCTACATTTCGATAGGTATTGATAAACACAATAAAACTGCATTTTTACTTTTCCGAAATATTTAAATTTTTAAAATCGTATATAAGCGATTGTGGGCGTTAAAGGGGCGTGGCCCTTTTTGAAACAAACTTGCGCTGCGTAGGAACTCCTAGAATCTGCATGCAAAATGCCATCTTCTAGCTTTTATAGTTTCCGAGATCTCAGCGTTCATACGGACAGACAGACGGACAGACAGACGGACAGGGAGGGGACGGACAGACGGACAGACGGACATGGCTATATCGACTCGGCTAGTGACCTTGATCAAGAATATATATACTTTATAGGGTCGGAAACGCTTCTAGTTACTTGAAATACAATATCTTTTTTACTAGTAACGGGTATAAAAAGGTATATACCCCCTTAATTGATCAAAGCAATTATTTTTGGAAAGAGTGACTTCCACAAATATTAAAAAAAAATAACGCTAACTTAACGGAGCATGCGTTCAAGTTTTTTAAATTAAAAAAAAATTTCCTATACATGAAAAAAGAAGAACCAATTAACATATATTAGTTACAAGCAGAATAATATCTTTTTAATAACGGAAAGAGTGATGAATGATGTACTGTCGCACAACTCAAAAAAATACCAACAGAACTGCATACTAAGGCACTTATGAATGGTTTGGTGGTATATCGATTAATATATTAATGTCGCTCGCACTGCAAAGTTTCTGGTTTGCGCATATGGAATGAAAAGTGTCCCAGATTATTAAAAACTGCGTTAAGTTTATTTTAATCAACGAAAAGTTGGAACGCTACAAGGTATGCTGTTTTGTATGTTGATCGCTTATCGATGTTAATGTCTCCACCAAATTGTGTCATCAAAATTTGCGGACGAGCTACGCCGATCTATTATAACCTCAGTCAAAAGTGTGCAACGCAGTGAAGGAGACATTTCCGACCCTATAAAGTGTATATTCTTGATCAGCATCACCAAGAAAGTCGATCTAGCCATGTCCGTCCGTCCGTTTCAAGCCGAAGTTTGCTTCATTTCTTGTATACATTTTTTTCCGATTGTTTCTATGCCAGCTTTATTATATATATTATATAAAAAGACAACTTTTGGGAAAGTTTCAAGCAGATAGCTTTAAAACTAAAGGGCTAGTTTGCGTAGAAACGGACGGACAGGACTAGACCGACTCTGCTGGTGATGGTGATCAAGAATATATATACTTTATGTCATACATATTTTTATACCCTTGCAGAGGGTATAATAATTTTGGTCAAAAGTGTGCAACGCAGTGAAGGAGACATCTCCGACCCTATAAAGTATATATATTCTTGATCAGGATCACCTCCTGAGTTGATATAGCCATGTCCTTCTGTCCGTCTGTCTGTTTATACGCAAACTAGTCTCTCAGTTTCAAAGCTATCGAATTGAAACTTTGCACACACCCTTCTTTCCTTTGCACGCAGTATATATGTCGGAACGGCCGGGATCGGCCGACTATATCCTATAGCTGCCATATAACTGATTGAACGGAAATGCCATAACTTTGGTGTTTGTAAAGTTAGGCAGTTGGGGTTTTCTATGGGTTTTTTATTTGGCCAATCAATCCGACCTAGCAAATTTCATAAGGATCGGCCGACTATATCCTATAGCTGCCATATAACTGAACGATCGGAAAAGCCATAACTTTGGTGTTTTTAAAGTTAGGAAGTTGGGATTTTTTATGAGTATTATGAATGCATCATATGAATAATTTTGGAGAATATAATTTACAGAGTATTCTGCAAGGGTATATCAACTTCGGCTCCGCCCGAAGTTAGCTTTCCTTTCTTGTTATTACAACAATTTGTATTTTTTTATAAGCAAAAGCATTAGTTTAATCATAATTCTATAAAATTTAAACCATTTGTATCGCTGTTTTAAGGCAAGCTTGTCTTGTCCCCCTTATAAAGCTCACAGTTGAAAATGAATTTTCGGTTCCTATTTGTACTCGCCCATTTTCGCATTCAATTATTTTCATCACAGTCAGGTAATCATTTGTAAAGTCCTGAAAATCTGGCTTTGTTGATGCTTATTTTTTTGTCGTTCATTATACCCTTGCAGAGGGTATTATAATTTCAGTCAAAAGTTTGCAACGCAGTGAAGGAGACATTTCCGACCCTATAAAGTATATATATTCTTGATCAGCATCACCAGGAGAGTCGATCTAGCCATGTCCGTCTGTCCGTCCGTCTGTCCGTCCGTCTGTCCGTCCGTCCGTCCGTTTCTACGCAAACTAGTCCCTCAGTTTTAAAGCTATCTGCTTGAAACTTTCCCAAAAGTTGTCTTTCTATTGCAGGTAGTATATAAGTCGGAACGAGCCGGATCGGGCCACTATATCATATAGCTGCCATATAACTGAACGATCGGAAAAGCCATAACTTTGGTGTTTTTAAAGTTAGGAAGTTGGGATTTTCTATGGGTTTTATTTTTGGCTAATCAATCCGACCTACCAAATTTCATAAGGATCGGCCGACTATATCTTATAGCTGCCATATAACTGAACGATTGGAAATGACATAACTTTGGTGTTTTTAAAGTTAGGAAGTTGGGACATTTTATGAGTATTAAGAATACATCCTATGAATAATTTTGGACAATATAATTTATAAAATATTCTGCAAGGGTATATCAACTTCGGCTCCGCCCGAAGTTAGCTTTCCTTTCTTGTTAAATTTATTTTCCAAAACAAATAGGAATATGTCAAAGGTACTTATATAAGAGACGTTTATTTGCTAGACTATACTACTAATTTTAAAACATATTTTATTTTACTTATTTAGGTAGCATTTAGGTTGGTTGATTGGCATTTGTTATTAGTGTTTTTTCGCGGTTATTTTGCGTTCACTTTCATTTCATGTTATTTTTATTTCTCCTGACCATTACTTTAAGACTTTTGTCAACTATTCCTAGATCTCGTTTTAGCTGCAGAAGCAATAGATTACGTTCCTGCTTTTCGATTCTTAAATTTTTTCGGATAGTTTTTCAGTTTTAGTTTTTTGTTTTCTGCCTGTAGAGCTACTCTTTTCTCCTGCAGGTCCCAGCTATTCCTTCAATTCACCAACATCGCCTTTTTTGCCACGTTTTGTAGCTCTTCTGTTAAGTTGCTTATTGTTGGGGCTTGCAACAAACCTCCTTTTTCAGCCATATCAAAAGATAATTATATTGTTAAATGCGACGTTAGAATGCGCATGGCTAATTTCCAAGGCTTGAATTTGCATGTTCTATTCAAATTCTCTAGATCTGATAGTTTCCGAGATCATGACGTTCAGATAAACAGTGATATGGTAGAACTTCCCTATTCTGATAAAGGTTTGGAAATATACCCTAACATAATTTGTAACGATTAATGTGCGCTCTTCTACTCATAGCGTTTCTTTTGATAGGCCGCAAACGTGTGCCATACACTTTTAAAAAATAAACAAAGGTTTTTAAAAACTTTTTTCTTATAATTTGTAGAGCTCGGAAGATCTTGACACTGATACTGAATTTGAGCCTGTTGAGGACTTGACCTTGGAAACACGAAGTCGATGTAAGTAAAATTATATGATTAAAAAAAAGAAAGCCCGAATCTATTTAAAAATATTTCTGTGGAAAATAACTTCCCATAACGCCGTTTAAATAGGGCTTTTTGCCGTGGTCTGTGCCTGTGGTCAAAAGTGCGCAACGCGTTGAAGGAGACATCTTCGACCTTATAAAGTATATATATTCTTGATCAGGATCGCGTCCCGAGTTGATATAAGCTTGTCCGTCTGTCAGTTTCTACGCGAACTAGTCTCTCAGTTTTAAAGATATCGAATTGAAACTTTGCACACACCCTTCGTTCCTTTGCACGCAGTATATAAGTCGAAAGGACCGGAATCGGCCGACTTTATCCTATAGCTGCCATATAACTGAACGATCGGAAATGCCATAACTTTGGTGTTTGTAAAATTAGAAAGTTGGGATTTTTTATGAGTATTAAAAATGCATCATATGAATAATTTTTGAGAATATAATTTACAGAATATTCTGCAAGGGTATATCAACTTCGGCTCCGCCCGAAGTTAGCTTTTCTTTCTTGTTTTGTTTTATGTCGATATTTTAATAATTTTCTTTTGATTGGTATTATATTATTATATAATAATATATTATTAAAAGATTAATTTTTAAAAGTTATATGAGTACTTGTTCTTTTTATTTTCCTATTAACTGTCGGGTCTTTTCTATTACAAATTTGTTGTATATTGTATTTTTATAAAATTAAAGCCTAATTTCTGATTTAGACTTATGTATGTTAAAAAAAAGAAACAAAAAGATTGTTTCTATGGCAGCTATTTAATAGTAGTCTCGTTTCTATGAATTAAAAAAAAACCGATATAGAGGAAATAATATTTAATATACCAATGAAAATGTTAAAAACAAAATTTAGTAGCTAAGATTAAATCGAACCTTCACGGTTTTGCAATTAAAATTGTTTACTTACTTCTGAGTAATAACACAACTGAACAAGATTAAGTGAAAAGACTAAAAAAAAAACCTTGCCGAAAAATCCTAAACCCCAAACGCAATCAACGCAAGACTCATGACTGAGAGGGGGTCGAGGAAAAAATAAATAACGTTTTAGAAGCCAGACCAATCAATACAACGGCACGGTTAGCGCACAATATTAGTGAACTAGATTAAATACCTGACATTGTGTGAAATAAAAGTAAATATTCATTTTGGGTCACCCAAAAGGGGAAAAGACTTTAACCACCAGGCCAAACAACCATAGTTCAAGCAGCGGCAATGACACTCTACATCACACCAACTCCATCCCACGAGCCCAACCAAAATCTGAACTCATATTAAATATATGAACAAGCACGCAAACAACGAGTTAAATCCAGACTAAGAATCCCTAGTGCTTCTAACAATTAGATTACTAACAAGATGCCAAGACGATCCAGACTGATTCAGAAAAACCCTTACATCAAGGTAAACAGCCAGAAACAATCAGATCAGAACAGGAATATTATCAAACGGAAAAATCAAATAATGCAAATTACTTAAGGAAAAATGCACATTGGCAAATCTTAACAACAGGAATTAAAAACAAGAGAGAACGCTATAGTCGGGTGCCCCGACTATCAGATACCCGTTACTCAGGTAAAGGGAGTGCGAGGGAGATGGAGATAGAAACTTTGATCACGCATAACTTTTTAACGAATGGTCCGATTTGAAAAATTTCTTCTACATTTCGATAGGTATTGATAAACACAATAAAACTGCATTTTTTACTTTTCCGAAATATTTAAATTTTTAAAATCGTATATATGCGATTGTGGGCGTTAAAGGGGGCGTGGCACCATTTTGAAACAAACTTGCGCTGCGTAGGAACTCCTAAAATCTACATGCCAAATGCCAATCTTTTAGCTTTTATAGTTTCCGAGATCTCAGCGTTCATACGGACAGACAGACGGACAGACGGACAGACAGACGGACAGACGGACATGGCTAGATCGACTCGGCTAGTGATCCTGATCAAGAATATATATACTTTATAGGGTCGGAAACGCTTCCTTCTAGCTGTTACATACTTTTGCACGAATACAATATACCCTTTTACTCTACGAGTAACGGGTATAAAAACAATCGTTTCTTGGTAGTGAGAACTTTGAGTCAATAACGGGGAACAGGAAAGTACTAAGATTTTAATTGTCTTAGAACTATAAGTAGAGAAAAATGCATTTGCTGTGAACAGTGGAAAATGTAAATTTACCAGACTTCCATCTAATTTTCAATGAGCCTTGTACGACGGTCTAAGGAGGGAGAAGGTACACAGGGAAATTTTACTATGTGTATGTTAACGACATAATCGTTTTTAGCTGAAACTAACTTCGGAATACATTTTCACCCTAAATGATAGAGGCCACATTTAAAAAAACGGATGGAGCCAAGACAAACAGCGATAAAACAAAGGCAACTATATAATTATACCCGTTACTCGTAGAGTAAAAGGGTATATTGTATTCGTGCAAAAGTATATAACAGGTAGAAGGAAGCGTTTCCGACCATATAAAGTATATATATTCTTTTTCAGGATCACTAGCCGAGTCGATCTAGCCATGTCCGTCTGTCCGTCTGTCTGTCTGTCTGTCTGTCCGTATGAACGCTGAGATCTCGGAAACTATAAAAGCTAGAAGATTGGCATTTTGCATGTAGATTTTAGGAGTTCCTACGCAGCGCAAGTTTGTTTCAAAATGGTGCCACGCCCCCTCTGACGCCCACAAGCCACAAGCTGTGGCCACAGGTTTGATGCTATTATGAAAATTTTAATTGATATGTATTTCTTTCGTCAATACCTATCGATTGGCCGAATAAAAGTTTGCCACGCCCACTCTAACGCCCAAAAACCCATTAAACGCTTAAGCCAGGCTAGCGCCTACATTTCCGCCTTTCATGACATTTTGGACAACGTCCAAAAGAAGACACAACAACTATAGCGACGACATAACATAGACACCTAGTGAAATGAAGAGAAGAATGAGAAAAATCTTATAACGATTTTAACAGACAGACTAGATCCTAGGTTTAGAAACGGAGTCTTCACTTCCGAAGAAGTAAAGTGAAAAATACAAAATACTTATCCTACTTCTTTTAGAGCATATTAGAAAATTTCTTATAAAAACAAATTGACGACATAACTTTGGAAACGCAACCCTTGAACATCCTATGTTCCTATGAACGCATAGAGATGCAAAAGAAAATCAATTACAAATTCTTTAAAAATTTTGTTTTCCACAAACCATAGAAAAGATTCAAGCAATAAAACAATCCTGTCAAGCCTGCAAAGAACCCAAATAAGACAAACATCCATCAAGTGGCAGTTCATGGTAATTAGTAACAAAAGAGAGAGAAAAAAGGAAAAGTATTAAAAAAACAAGAAAGTAAGCAAACTTCGGCAACCCGAAGTTTATATACCCTTGCAGTTATTACAAAACGACTACATTTTGATTTATATTCCTATATTACTAAAAACAATGAAACTATATCGATGTTGCGCTGCATTTTGCCATCGTTTCTATGGCAGCCACATATATGATATTGTTGTCCGATTTTAATTTAATTAAAACCGGAATTCCATAATATTTAAATATTACCAAATACCAAAGAACAACAAAGTTATAATTTTGTTGAATTTTTTTTTCGATCCGACTTGTTCCGACTTATGTATATACTACCTGCAATAGAAAGACAACTTTTTGGAAAGTTTCAAGCAGATAGCTTTAAAACTGATGGACTACTTTGCGTAGAAACAGACGGGCTAGACCGACTCTCCTGGTGATGCTGATCAAGTATATATATACTTTATAGGGACCGAAATGTCTCCTTCACTGCGTTGCAAACTTGACTGAAATTAAAATACCCTCTGCAAGGGTTTAAAAATACAGTGAAAAATCTTAATACTCTTTTGTATTAACAAATACGTGATTTGGTGGATCTCGGACGATTTTAATACCGACAAAGAGAATGACGAAAGGGAGTGCGGTTTGGATCGAGTTCGATATAACACTGGCTTTTAATTTCAATATAAAAATGCTTAAGCCTAACTTAACGACGGGGGCGAGAGACGGGACGAATTCGCGAGAGCGATTAGATATTTATTGCGCTCCCGCTCCCGCCTTACACTATTCAACAAATTTTAAAACACGCAAAGTGCGCGAACACCGCCCCCTCTGAAGGACCACCGTCTTTCAGCATGCCACAGGCAGCACCGCCAGCCTATGGACCGCTCGCCGATACGTCGCATCCTTTGTCCTCACGTCCGCCACTCGGACCTTGCCGTCAGCGCCGACGTGCACCGCCACGATCCGCCCGATCATCCACTGCTGCGGCGGAAGGTTGTCCTCGGCGACGACGACGAGAGCTCCCACGTCGACGTTTGGAACCTTCTGGTGCCACTTGTTTTTTGCCTGGAGGCTCGAGACGTACTCCCGGGACCAACGCTGCCAAAACCTGTGCCTGAGAGACGAGGCACTGCGCCATCGTCGTAAGCAGGTTGGGCTGACTTGGTCCGGGAGCGCTGCTGAGGGTGGAGCTAGGAGAGGCCCGCCGATCAGGAGATGGCCTGGGCTTAGGGCTTCGCCGTCGTTGGGATCCGTGCTGATCGCTCCGAGGGGCCTGGAGTTGAGAATGGCCTCCACGCTGATGAGGAGAGTTCCGAGCTCCTCCGCGGTCAGAATGTCTTCGCCGACCGTCCGAAGGTACAGGTGCTTTGCAGACTTCACACCTGCCTCCAATAGTCCGCCGGTGCTCTGGGCGGTATGAACGCAAACTCGCATCCTTTTCTTAACGCGAATGTTGCGATACCGCCCCCTGCTCCTCCAGACGGGCCCGGAACTCTCTCATGTGGCGATCGGCTCCGACGAAGTTCGTCGCGTTGTCGCACCACACCTTCTCCGGAATCCCGCGTCGACTCACGAACCTTTGGAATGCCAACAAAAACGCATCAGTGGTGAGGTCAGACACTAACTCTAAGTGGACCGCTTTGGACGCAAAACATACAAT